GGGGCGGGGCCGAGCTCGCGGGTGGGGAAACTGAGGCCCGGGGCAGTTCTCCACCGGCCGGGTGCTCTTCCTCTCCTCCCCGCCTGCGCGGCCCTGGGGCGGAGGAAGCGCCCAGGGAATTGTTCGGCGAATAAGCGCATACAGACCCGGGATCTGAACCCCCACCCACCTCCCGGCGGCCTGAGATCCCGCGTGGGGTGCGGTTGACACGGGCCAGAACCGTCTTACCTGTCTTGGGTTCCCGCAAGAGCGAGCCTGGGTCGGTACCGCGCGGCCCAAACGTACTGGCGTGGCGCGACCCGCGGATGGTCTCCGAAGTCGCTGTGCCTTTACCGAGTGGGCATTTTTTAAGGAACGTTTTCTGCTTGCTGAACACACAAGGCGCGCACTCACTTATTCCTCTGCCTTTGCCGCTGTTAATCAGTAGTTAGGGGATTTGACGATGGGTTAGAATTTTTAACATGATCTTTAATTTCAGGAATTTGGTTCTATTTCTGTCAGACCTCAGATCCTCCGGAAAGTCAGCTGAGGGAGGAGTGAGGCTGGTCACCTCATTGGTGTTTTGTTTTAATTCCTCCCAGGCATTCATTACATTCTCTAGGTGGAACAGGGTTCCCGATTTGGATACCCAGCTGCCATTGGGAACTGTCTTTTACCTCTTTGGTTTGGTTTGTTTTAAGCTGGGTTGCACTTAAACCTCTCAGCCATCCAAAGAGAGCTTATTCTAGAGTCTGAGAGTTCTGTGGGTTAAAAGAAGGCCTGCGGGACCCTCCCAGAGGGGAGATGTCTGGTCTCCAACAAGCAGCAGGCTCGGGATTCCAAGGCTTCTGTGGGGCTTTCCAGTTCTAAGAGAAAAGGATTCAGAATTCTGCGTCTCTGACTTAGAAATTCCTTGGTTAGCAGTCCAGTGCTCGCTGGAGGAGCTGGGGACTCTCAGAGTAGTTCTGTGGGCCTCCCCCTACCCCTCCCACCCTTCCTCTCTGCCTCCAGCCAGTGTAAGCGATAAGGACAGACCACCTGATTTCACTCTTTGGGGTGCCACATCCTGTTTTCAGATTAATGAGCTCATTTGGTGGAAATTTACCAAGGGAAATAGTTTAATTTTGGAAAGTACCAAAAACTTATTAGTAGTCACTCAGTTTAATTTGGGGGGCTCTTGAAATAGAGGGGGCATCACCGGAGAACCTCTGAACACCCTGGGCAGGGCAGAGCCACAGAAGTTGAAAGTCAAGCCCAGTGAAGCCGAACCTGACTCAGAAAGGAAACGAAACCCCTCAGAGACCACTCATCTCTACCAGTAGAAATTTTTTTTTCTAAAAATACATTTAAAAAGAAAAGTAGTCCATCTGGCTAAGGTCTCGGTTCTGATGGCCATAGCAGGAGGCCGTGACTGAGGAAGGAGAGCGCAAACTGGGAAGTGGGGTGTGTTAGTGCCTCAGGGGTCCCTTTCACATCTATGTCCTTTGCCTGTTCCAAGAGGCACCAAAATGCTTCCATTCTCCAGTGTTGCCAAGTTCTCCAACATCAGGCTTCTGACACTGACATTGTTGCTTAGGTTTTGAGCTGGTGGCTTCTGCAAGGAGCGAGGGGCTGAAGGCCAAGAGGACTCTGGTCCCTAGTCACCAGCTCCCAGATTTGGCTCATCAGGTCTGCACCCCTTGGCCTGCTGTATTTCCTAGAGTAGACAGGGATGACCCCTTCCTGTCTGCAGAGCAAAAAAGTGGTGAAAACTGATACAGCCCTGACATGTCAGTACTGGGATAATACTTAAAAAAAAAAAAATGTGTCTTCCTGTCTTTCTGCCCCATCAGAAATCTGTACTGATATATTGGAGGATATATTTTTATGTTGGAATAAGACCTAGACTGGGAGCCAGCAAACTTGTGTTCTGTTTGTATCCATCCCTCCCCCCACCAAACCAGTTGTTTGGAGGGGGGAGAAGAAATAAGTAAATGCTTCAGTACTCGTTTACAAATACTCACAGAGTGTGTGTTTGTGTATTCATAAAAAGGCCTTAAGATCACAGCAGTGTTGGGGATTTCAAACTTCCAACTGGCTACGGGACTGTGTCTTCAAATACTTTCTCACGTGGACTCTCACCGGCTAGACCAGCTGGAAGCAGCATGCGCTGCCGGGCACCTGCCGTGTACACTGTGCTGGCTCCTCCCCAGCTGACTTCCAGGCCTAGGGACATGTTGGCATGTCGTGGACCTGATGAACGTCGAATGTCCGCAGGTCCCAGAAGTGGTGTCTAGGAGTCATTCCTGGCTGGCTGGCCTCTGCTGTCCCAGTCTCGGCTGCCTTTCCCCAGACAACTCTTGGAATCAGGACACTGGTCACCGAGGGCATTTAAGGAAGGGAGAGGTCACACCAGCCTGGCCCATTAGGCCTCTTGGTACAAGCAGGACCAAACTGAGGCCTAAACATCTGGAGGGTCAGGGTCCGTCCTTATGGGAGAAATAATAACCATGATAATTACAGTGACTTCATTCAGGGACAGACACTCTCCAGCTGGGCACATTCCAAGCTGTGCTCCCCTCACTAGCTGGAGCTTATGCTGCACACTTTCTGTTTTGCAGTGATGACTAAAAATAGACCAAGTCTCCTTTATTAATCTCCATCTGTGTTCTTATTGCACTTACTATGTAACTGGCAGTTTACAAAATGTGACTTTTTTTTTTTTTAAAAAGATTTGTTTATTTATGCATACAGAACTGGGGTATAAGCCAGAGGTACAGGGGAGGTGAGAGACTTCAGTAGAGGCAGAGTGGGGAGCAGGACAGGCACACTGCTAAAGGGAGCAGTGGGCGGGTCAGGAGAGGTCTGCTGTGCCATTTGGGTCACCTCTGGGGCGGGGATGGAACTCATGCAGAAGTGGCTTTAGCTTCTTAGTGCTGTGCTTTAACCTGCTGCGCCACCAGGGAGGCCCCCAAAATGTGACTGTTTACAGGTTTTGTTTTTTTTTCGTTTTTGCCTCCCTGGCATATGTGAAGTTTGATAAATGTATGAAGTGAAATGCACTAAAGTCACTATAGTCACGTTGTGTCCAATTCAAGAATGACTAAAAATGCAAGACACCACGCACAGACCCTCTTGCTGAAGTAATGACAGTTGGTGATGGTTCTGTCATCAGCATAAAATATTAATGAAGGATCTTTGGCTTGGTGTCTTCCAGGGTGTTGTGAAGTTAGAATTAACATTCTAATGAAAATTGGAACTGAAATCTGGAGTTGTTTGTTGAAAGGGACTTTCTGTTTGGTGACCTCTGCCTGAACAGATTTCCAGATTTTTAGAAAAGAAACAAAGTTCTTGGAGTTATGGGCACCTGAACTGTCCTCAGGGTGTTTCCAGCTATTTGTGGGAGCAGCCGCATTGAAAATGTGTTGGTGTACAACAAGGGTGTCTGTGACATTCACAGGGATGGTGACATGGTCCAAGGGAGATTTGGCAGATGGACCCTTGGATGAGGAGAAGCCCTGAAGATGCCAGCAATGAGGAAGGCATCTCATTGGATCAATACTAGCGAACCATGGGCCCTCCCTGGTGGCACAACGGGGCAGGACACAGCACTGCAAGCTGGCTGCAGCCTCGGTGCGAGTTTGATCCCGCGTCCTGGTGGTGACCCACATGGCGTGACGGACCTCTCCTGACCTGCCCACTGCTCCCCTCAGCAGTGTACTTGGTCGATCTGCCTGTTCTGCTCCCCACTCTGTCTCTGGTGAATCCTCTTACTGCCCCTGGACCTCTGGCCTGTACCCCAGTTCTTGTATACATAAATAAATAAATCTTTAAAAAAAAATTCCTGCCAACCTACCTCTTCTCCCTGACATGTCCGGTCACCCACGTGCCCTATCTAAGAGACTGGTTTTGTTATGTGACAAATCCTTTCATGAACTCTGAAGATAAAAATTCTCCCAAAGGTGGGTGCCCTGGGCTACTTTGCAGGCTATGGGATTACTGATCTTCTTTTATACTTACCCTTGTGAGGCTTGGTGTCCTGGCTCTTGCCTAGTATAGAACTTGGAGTACCGGCTCACCAGCGGTCAACATCTGGCTTAAGAAGGGGTGCAGCCTGGTGGCCCTTGGTACACTCCATCCTGAGGTCTCAGCCTGAGGAGAAAAATTAGAGAGTGGGGGAGCCACTACTTAGGAGCCGGGAGGCTTGTCTCTGCAGTTGACTTGAGGGTAATCAGAGAGCATGGCCCACCCTTTGGTCTCATGTTTGGTCTTCTGCAAAGTGGAAGAATGATCTCAGAGGAATCCACTAGGGTAAACTCTTTAATCATTCAAGCCTTGGAGGTGGGGGGAGGGTGAAGAACACCCTACCTGGACTTAGGGCAGCATGGGGAACCCTTATAACAGGCACTGGAAGATTTCACTAGAATCCCAGTCACTTTGGACTTCAGACAGGTTTTTTTCATATAAAAGAAAGCTATGTGAAAAACCTCTTTTGATGGATTTCTTTCAGAGCTCAAGCCAGCTAAATTCCCAGCACAAGCCAAGACTTGGAAGCAAGAACGCAGAGCAGGGAGTAAGAGGCCAAGTATCAGGGTCACAGCCTTTGGTCCCTCAAAGAAGACCCAAGCTGGGGCCTTGGAAGGTGTGAACGCGGAGTTAGTGTTTGCTCATCCCTCTGAACTTCTTGTCTTACTAAAGAGGAAATGGGTGTCCCTGGGAGAAGGATGAGCTTGCACAGTAAGTCGGAGGCCCACAAGTGTCTTCCTCTATGTCCTGTGTCCTCCTGTTCCCAAACGGCTCCATGGTACCCTGCATTTATCTCTGCTTGGATACCTCTCTGTGAAGCTGAGTTTCCTGGAGCCTGGGAGCAGGGCCTCTGCCGGCCCTGTGTATCCAGCCTCCATATTGCACATGGGCTCAGCAATGTCTGTGGTGCCACTGATTCGCTATCTTGATGCCCAGGGACATTAGCAACAGCGCAAGCCCACCGTTCACAATTAAAGGTGTTTAATAAATAGCTAGTATTTATTTAATACATTTGAGAATACTTTATTAAATCCCTCTTAAATGTATTAAAGATATTTAATAAATACCCTTCACAAACTGTTTTAAGAAAACGATTGCACACACATCTAGTGATACTTTTTGGGGAAAGTAGTGTCTTAATCATTTTTTGGAGCTGTAATTGAGGCATTTTAAAAGGCAAAAATCAAAGAAACAAGTCAAGTCATTACTTGTAGTTTCCATCCTTGGTTAGCGTCTTCTGTAATCAGTGTCCAGCTGTCCAGCCAGAGAGCTTTGGGTAGGGCTGAGAGCTCTCCAGTGCCCGCTGATTGCAGAAACCAGGGCTTGAAGGGTGGGGAGGCCAAGGGGTTCAGGGCTGCCCTGTTCCACCGCCTGCTGGTCCTGCTTCTCCTTTCTCAGAGAACATGTCTGCACACAAGCCCTCAGGAGCCACTTTGGAACCCCTCCAGGGACAGACTTGGAGACCCGCCAGGAGGGCGGGCGCCCCTGGGAAGGCCTCCTCTCGGGAAGCTGAGACTG